CTCGAGTATTTTTATCCCGAATACTCTTTGGACAAGCATTTTTCTGCCTCCCATCCGGTTAAACTTCTTTGCCAAGGACTACTTTTTTGTGCCTATGCCAGGTCTCCCTCTTTTTCTTTTTCCGTCAGGTGTTCATCTTAACACACACATTGCAGGATGGTTCTATTGGTTCTTATTTATGATTGATACATCCCCCATCTTCGTTTTACGATTTTTACATTAATAAATGGGATATTAACATTATCTGTATTTGACATAATATTGTACTAAATCGTAGTATTTTTTTCAAACATTCATTTTGAAACGTTTGAAAGTCACATTTTAATTTCGCAAAATAAATTTTGTTTAATATCAAAATCTCAAATTACACTTAGTGTGTCACTGTTAGTGTGTTACCCTTGCATGTGCCGCCATTGAAAAAAAGCACGAAATCAAATGTTATTTTAGAATTGGGAACATATTTTAAAAAGTACAAAAACGCGATTTAAAAACAAGCTACTTTTACAAGAAACGAAAAAAAAAGAACAAACCATATCATTTTCTGATCTCAATTTCATGAGCGTACATTTTGATATATCTCGCTCCTATGATTCTGAAAAGCAATTTCTTATAGAAAATTTTACGTAAGTGCTTTTAAAATCATACTACGAATAGCAAAATTCAATTATAGTATTCGACTCCTTCACTGAAAAGTGTTTTCACGTTTGACATTATAAATAACGCCCGATAAGTCACGTCTTGAACTACAATCGAAATGTCATATTTAAAATGACGTATAAAAATGACGTCGGAGTCAAGTCACCAAGTGCCTTTTTGACTTACACTGCTTTACTTATAAACAGTTAGCAGAAGACATGATTTTATGCAAGCCATTTTGAAGCAAGTTGGTTTAAGTCAAATAGAGACTTATCTGTATGTATGTTAAACATATAATCAAGTACCTTTCCTTTAGAAGGAAATACATAAACTAATATAAATATTGCTAAAATTTCAACTGATCAAAATTTGTCTAGGATTGACTTCAAAAATTTGTCTAGGGTATGACATTATTCCTAATGTTAGGTAAATATTTATGAAAAGGAGTTTTATACGTTTCAATAGAAAAAGTTGAATAAAAAAGTTATAACTAACATTTAGTTTTTATCTTTTTTTACATTGCGAGTGCATTGTATTGTTACTTTAAAGAAATAGACGATGACCCAAAAAATAAAAAAATCGTTGTCTTACAAGCATATATGACAGTACTTTTACTTTCGTTACTTGTACCGTCGGTACAAGTAAAAAGTACGTACTTTTACTTGTACTTCGTTACTTTTTAAATTTAGTACTTTTACTTGTACTTTCGTTACTTTTTTAGGGAAAAGGTACAAGTATTTGTAACGGAAATGTCGAATGAAATCGTTACTTTTTTCTAAAACTCGGTAAGCTTTCTAAAAAAAAAAGGAAACAAATTAAATTAAAAAGAGTTTGCTGCTGGTTTGGTACCTTGCATCAAATTTAATTGGTTGGAAGAAAAAGATAGGGAGGTGGCTACCAAAAAATTGCCCAAGCTGAAAACCCTGCTATAACTAATAACGTAACAGAAAAAAAAAAAACCCAGGGATTTTAAATTTTCTAAAGCTGAAAACATCATGCCAATCACCAGCGACAGAAGAATTTATGGCATATATGAGCTCAAAATTCGAAACGGAAAGCATATCAATTTTGAATCGATATCCAATCGTAAAAAAATTATATGTGAAATATAATACTGCAGTACCTTCTAGTGCTCCCGTGGAGCACTTATTCAGCGTGGCTAAGCACGTTCTGAGAAATTCTCGCAGCAGACTCAGTGACACCACTTTCGAAATGCAATTATTTTGCAAAATGAATAAAAATATTAATTAGCAAGTTATTTTCATTCATTTTCGAGTTTTATGCATTTATTTCATACATTTAAATTAAAAATGTTGGATTTTGTCATTACGTTTTTCAATTTTCTTATTGAACTCACTAATAATACATTTTTGTCTTAATACATTTTTTACTAAATACATTTTTATCTAGTACATTTTTTACTAAAATTATGTTTATGCCGACCTTGTCAAACAACGCCCAGTCAAATATCTGAGAACTTTAGAACTATTTGTGCTATTTAAAACCTTTTATAACTACTATTTTAACTCTTGAAAACTCGAAGGTATTAATTTAGCCGCTGATACCAAAATTCGTTTACAAATTTTAATTATTCCGTTAGGCAGAAATGTTCGGAAAATGATTTTCTCGCATGACTTCAGCATTAGCCATTGTTACTAATAAAACTGTAGACTGTTCTGTTTCAACTTATACTGCACGTTCAATTATTTTTTACTAGCTCAAAGATCGCAAAGCTATCGGTGTTTGCTTTGTTCATGTTTGTGCTTTTAAAACGCGTTTCTATAGAGTAAAACAATTTTAAATCAATGGTAATTTAAATAAATTAAAGTAATAAACTAAAAATTAAAATCAAAAGATAAAATTTCTTTTTCGAGCAAATCCATAAAAAGTTTGATATTAAAATTATATTTGATTTTAAAATTATATTATACGATTATATTATAAAATTATATTATAATATTCTTCAGAATTTAAAAATAAATTAATGTCCATAACTTTCAAAATTTAAAATAATTAAATAAATAACAACAATTTTGCAAAAACATTAAAGAACATAAGAATATTATTCAATAAAATTTTAGGTTACTTTGAATTTTCGATTGCCTAGAAATGTACTTTTAAATCGTTACTTTTTTTGTTCAGTACTTGTACTTTTTACTCGTTACTTTTTAAAATAAGAACTTTTTACTCGTTACTTTTCTAAAAAATACTTGTGCTTTTACTCGTTACTTTTTAAAAGTAACGTTGCCATATATGCTTACAAGTGAAGCACAATCTGTCGATTAATTAAGTTATTAGATGTTTGAATCTTTAAAAAAAAAGGGAGGGGGAAGAAGGAAATTGTTGTTTTACAATTGGAGCACATTATGTCGATTAATATAGATTTAGATGCTTAAAAAATAAAACATTAAATTAGAAATATTCACTGTTTGTTAATTTTTTCGAATTTATTCTTTTTTTCTCTCCTTATTTCACTCTGAAACCTTCGAAAGTTTTCGACAAAAAAATTGTTTGATATTTAAGACTGGCTAAATGTCAGGCTTTAAACTAAAAACGTTTTTTTTTCTTTCTCAATTTTATGATATTTGTATCTGCATTTGCTTAATTTTTTTTATCCCTCACACTTTGGAAATAAATATTTTTTAAAAAAATCAATTTTGTATAGGAATGAATTTTCTATTTTATTTGATAAATAAACAAAACAAAATCTAACTAAAAATTCAAATCAACTTAACATCTGTTTATAACAATGAATACATTTTCCAACATTTAACCTTTCGTTACGGCAACCCCCTCCACTGATGTGACTCCACAGAGGTGACTCCACTGGTGTGACGCCACTGAGAGATGCATCGTGCCGTGAACCTTACACATTGCATGTCGGTAAGCTAAAATTCCCATTTTCTTATTTTCTTGTTAAATAACAATCAATATATTTGAAGATTTAGCAAGAATTATAAATAAAAATGCAATTTAAGATTACTCTAAAAATTCTCAGCAATTTCATTCAATCTGGTAAATGTTAAAACAAGGAAGAAAAACTTCTGCGTAACATCTGCCCTGTGAGTAAAAGCACCGGCAAAAAAATGCATTCATAACGAATGGTTTAAATAATTTCCAAAAGATTTTTATTTTTTCAGCAAATGCGTGCGAAACACACAATTAAATTTATATCTGACTAATCTGAATTGTCTTTTAAAAGCTTAATATTGATTTTCAGAATTCCTCACAAAAATGAAAATAAAAAGGAAAACTCATTAGTGGTCCCAAATTAATATTCAATCAAATCCTTAGACACTCAAACTTGATCAAATTCCTCATTAGTGGTCCGTTACATTTGGATAGAATTTTTTATTAGAAATTATTAACTGAAACATTATTTTGTGACCCTTAATGTCCTCATTTTTGATAAAGATTCTAAAAACATGAAATCCGCCAGATTAGAAAAAAAATATGTATCACTTTACACTAATCATTATCATGACAGAACATAAAATGGAAGGAAGCCATCCCGGTTTCGATTTTATTTCTTTACTATAAAAAAAAATGTGTTTAACTAAATTTAAAATGTATGACAAATTATGACCAATCATGATTAACATTCCCGTTAGTTGTTTCTTACAGTTTGAAACCTCAATTAAAACACAAGGTTATTAAAATTCTATACGCATTGAGAGAGAAAAAAATCTTATGACACTAGTGAAAATATCTAGATTTATCTTACAATAAAAAAAATTTTAAATAAAAATAATACTCGTAACTCTATAATAATGAGAGCCAAATAAAAATAAGTGTTTTTAAAATTGAAATATTATTGCAATTGGATCAAGAAACAATTACCAAAATTCAAAGAAATTTAAGGGCAATATATTTTTCAAAAAGTTACTCATTTTCTGATTCTATCACATTCTTAACAATATGAATGAAAATGTTTCAGAGGTACGGAAATTCAGATTTCGAAATTTTCACCAGGTTTATGACGTAATCATGAGGCAACTATTGTGCAATGACGATGATATAAAACAATAATCGATTTCGTTTCTGTTTTTTTTTTTTAATTACTAATCATTTGGAAAAATTTGTCTACGCAACTTAAACTTCTTAATTAGTTAAGAATAAACTGTTTCGTTTTTATTTTAAAAAATTATTGCTATTCTCTAAATGTCATTTGAAAATCGAAATCAGAATTCAATTATGACCATTAACTTAACTGCAACTGTTTACTTTGTTCGAAATTCCATTTCCGGGTTTCGGTTCGAAGTGAGAGTGGTATTCGTTTTGTGTTCTATTTGGCAGTGTGAGGAAATATTTCATCGAGTTTTGATAACTTCAATTACTCTTTTCAATAGCAGAAATTATCAAGCATGCCAAAACCTACTGAAGAAACTGGCGTACCTATCAAACTCTTACGAGAATTCGAAAACAAAACAATTACAGTGGACACAGCTACTGGCGAAGTTTTTACCGGAACACTTCATGACGCAGAAGATAATTTGAGTTTAACTCTCACAAATGCAAAAGTTGTGTTTGCAAGCGGTCATGAAGTTTCAATGCATAGTGTTTACATTAAAGGCGTTAAAATACGCTTAATTTCTCTCCCATCTGGAGCTAGAGAGAAAGTTCAACAATTAGAACGCGAGAGTCGCTCACTAATGCGAGGTCGTGGTGGCAGAGGAGGTGGCCGTGGCGGCTCAAGACGTGGATTTCGCGGTCGCCGGTAACATGATTCATCATCATAATATGCTCATGCAAACTTCAAAATGTACACCCTGCTTAGATGAAGTATATACCTGTATTATTTGGATTCCTTTCATTAAATTACCATTATAATTCTTGAAAATGTCAATTTATTTCCGATATCAAATTTTATTGTTATAGAAAAAAAAATTTTAAGTGTATTATTTATGTAACATTTCGTACATATATAGTTTAGTAATAGTGTTAGTTTTATCAGTAAACATTGAATCTCTATTTTTTTTAAAAAAAAAATTATAATACAGATTCCATTTTTATATAATTCTGCTTTTTAAATATTGAAACGCGAAATATTTCTAGATTTTTTTTTGGATTATTGTGCTATGGAAAATTCTAAGTTTTAAATTTTTTTAACCTTTTTATTTCAAAACAGAATTGATTATACATTTTTGAATATACTAAATGTGATTAACATTTTTTTGTGAGCTTGCTTTAGTATTTCATAATATATTTGGAAAAACTAATATCTCTAATTTAGATAATGGTTAGACTTACAGAAATTTAATTAGGAGAAGATTAGTGTAATTCCAAGCAGTTGTTTCATAAAATAAGAACATCACAGTATACATTTTATAAAGTTTAAAATTCCTCAATGATGATTTGAACCTATTGCTCCTTCCTTACATGTGTTTTGAGCTTACTAAAAATAAATTACATTGATTTTAGTATTTTATGGTGGGGTATAAAAATTTTGATGTAAAATATTATTATGAGTTACTATCAAATAAAATGAAATATTATCTCTACAAGTAATTTTAAAATTAGACTTCTTTAACTTTGTTATTTTACTTTGCATAATTTAATATTGCAACAAATAATGTCCTTCATGATTAATTTAAATTTTCCTTGATAAATATGATTCAATTTTATTTATTATCACACTATTAGTATGTGTCCTTTTCACTTGATACTGCAACTTTTAAAGCTTTGTTGCTTGTCTAAAAAAATTTCCAAAAACCAGGTTTTTTATTTTAAACAAAGGATTAAGTTATACTTTACTTTTTAAATATAAGCAACTAAATCATAAAATATTTCTAGATTTTTTAATTAGCAATTCCTAAATATTTATTTTTTATTCCATACATATGCTGACATGATGAAAAAGAATAACTGAGTACTTTAAAAATTTATTTTACATTTTAACTTAATGTGCGAATAAACTTTTAATATCTAATTGTTATTTTAGTAATAAGTTTGAAAGTCAGCTTTCCATCTTGATTGTCAGTGTGTATATTAATATTTCAGCATTTATATTAATGATACTTAAATGTATACATTTTATAGCGCTAATGTCAACTAAAAGGACATAGAATTGAAGATGGGTTTTTTTTTTTAGACATATTTTGCATGGGTATTTTTGCAGAAATACAATTATATGTAATAATTTAAAAACTGCAAATGTTTAGAGAATTATGAAAATGAGAATGTTGGCTAAAATTAATAGATTTTAATTTGAAATTTAACTCTAAAGTATAAAAAAAAGTGAGAAATCTTCCTTTGTTTTCATTTGGTTATATTTTAGTTTAAAATATTTATATAAATAGAAAATTTAATTATTAAAAAATGAGAACAAAAATTGAATTATTCAATAGATTTTAAAAAAACTTATTCTGTTGTCAGCATTTACGAACTAAAATTCAAAAAGCTCCTAATAGTTTTAGATATTTCTGTTAATATAGTTAGAATTATTAGTAGCTCTAATGCTATTGACATCTATGCTATGAGAGTCATAATAAGGATTTGCAAATCTGTATTATTTTTCAGAGATGTTTCAAGACTCTCCAACTGTAATTTAATGCAAAGTCATTATTTATTAGCAATATCTTTTGATTTACGATTTTAAAACGAAAATTTATAGAATTCATTCTTAAACAATTGCAGTAATTGTAAACAATTTTATTAGTACAATTTCACAAAGTTAATGACTAAAGGGAGAATTTGTAACATACAAGTTCAGATATTTTTCACTTTATATTTAGCTCCATATTCGTTAGTCTTTTATCCACATATATATTTATGAATAATTTTAATTGTATTAATAACTTTTACTAGGATATTTCCTTCTTTAATGTAGGTTTTTATTTTAAGAAATCGTGGAAAAAATTTTTTTTTTTGTAAAAATGAAAAGGTTCAGGCTGTTCTAAATTATTTTAATCATGTACCCTTTATCTTCAGTGATTGTTCCCATTTCTAATACCAGTTAACACTTTTAAAACTCAAGAGTCTATTTAAAGGGAATGATTATGAACCATTTGATTCTCAATTTACTAGTTTTGATTACCATTACAAATTTTAAGCATATATATTTAATAGTCGTGCAGCAATGTGCATGAAATGTAAGATTCCGGCTAAATTTTAATATTTCTAAATCACTAGGAAATTTTATCATAAAACAAAGTTTGCAGCTAAGAGACATACAAAGATATCCATGACCCTGTTTCCTGATTATTTTATCTATTCTATTCAAGGTCTATCTTATACAAGATCTCTTATGTGAAATCAAATAACAGACTAGTAATTTTTAGCTACCTAAACTGAAAACTACTGATCAAGCTCACATTTTTTCATTTTATAAGTCAAGAATTTTAGTGTGTTACTTAAATTCTTTCAATAGGTGATCAATAAATAGTTAATTTAGTCAGATATTTAATAAGTTTTGTCTAGCATTAAGGGTACATAACCATCTAAAAGAGGAGATAGGAAAATAGGGCTTTCACAAGCTGTTAAAACATTCTTAAATAAATGTTAAATAGTAGAAAAACATTATTTAAAAAATGGGATATATGAAACTCTTGTATTAAAATGAATGGTCAATAATACAACATACATCTTTAGAAAATTTATATTTTCACTTCTTGCAAAAAAAAAAATTTATTTCATAATTTATTTTCGAAAGGTGGATTAAAAGTGAAAGATTTAAATCCAAAACTATAAACTCTTAAGTTTATGAATATCAGAAGGTTTCCAACTTATTTAATGTTCTAATGGCATTTTTCCGTTTAAAACAAAGCTTTTTAACCCTCCTAGCAAGCATCAAGCTTGATATATCTCTGACAAGACTTCTGTACTTACGCGGCTTGACCAAGCATTTTCATGTTCTGCCTCTGGAGCAGCGAACTAATTTAAGCTGTCATCCTAAATCACTCACTGTACTAGAGGATTTGTGTTTGCATAGATGGGTATTTTCTGACTCAAACTAAAAATTGGTCTTTAATAAGCGGATTATTTTTATTTTCTCCAACATTTTTAAAACAATTTTTTTATTATTATTATTGCTTTATTATACTAAATTCCTTGAATAATTTGAATTGTTTTATACTTGTAAATTTCAAATCTTCGAATAGGCAATTTAATTTTAGGGTAATGGCAGAATATTATTTAATTTATGAATTTTTATTGTTGATAACTAACTTCCTATATCATTTAACTAATTTATTCAAGTAAATGTTTTTTTAAAGAATTATTTTGCTTTCAGAAAAAAATTTTTAATCTGGAAATTGCAGTCAGCTCTTAAAAACTCAAAACTGCCTCTTTCTGTAACTTCTAAAACCTTTCTCGGCAATGTTCTAAAATTTATGTGTGAGATATTCTCCAAATAACGCAAACTTTAGATTTTATTTGTGCTTTAGTTTAACCCACTGGCGGTTAAGGAAATGGGCAAAATTGGGAGAATGTTTCTCCCCTACACACAGTTCCCCTATCAGTTAACAAGGGAAAACCGGTTTTGCTATGCAGAGAAGACTGCAGGTTAAAATGCGACTTTTTACGTGCAGAACCGTCAGTGGGTTAATGATATTTAAAATATTTTCCCGGATAGGAAAAAAAATTCTTTCCACTAATAAATACTGCGTAGTATGAGATTTTTACATTCCTCATATACGTAAGTATAAAAGTATCATGATTCAGTAATAATAAATTCAAATTCGTTTAATAAATTATATAAAAAAATAACCTTACCACTTAAAAATAATCTCATGAATTTGAAATTTTTATGCCACTCAAACTGCCATATGCATTTCAAAGAAGACAACTTATTTAAAATGCAACAAATTAGATTGAAAATATTTAAGTATTTTTTATGAAAATTAAACTCCAGTAAAATGATAGCACATCAGGGTTTAAGCTGAGTCTAAAAATTCATTAGCAAAAAAGCTAAAATCTGAAAAAAAGTTTTAGCAAAATGCTAAAATGCCATTAGACTCATAAAATTACTTTATATCAAACAAGTACTGTAAGTTATCTGACAAAGAATAGCTTAATGTACAAGAATATCAAAAAGAATACCTATAACAAAAAAAAAAAAACATTTATTATTTATCAAAACATTTTGGTTTATAATTAACAATCTTCCTTTCTTTCATGTTTGCCCATTTTACAAATGCTTCTTGAAAGTTAAATGCACTTTCAGGGCCCTCAATATTAATCATTAACAAATTGTTTACATGGTTGATTAACAACCTGTTTCGAATATTAGTTTTAATCAAATTAAGGCAGCTAAAGCCCCTTTCACAGTCAACAGTGTGCATTGGTATTGTTGCACAATACTCTATAACAGAAGTTATTAATGGGTACTGTTCAGACACATCATTGGTATATAAAAATAAAAGTAATTCATTAAATGACATGTTTTTACATCGTTGCATTAAGATGTGTTTAAATAATCCCCATTCACAAAGTAATTCAGTTTCTGTAAACTGAAAATCTTTTCTGGGAGATTCCGAAAACAAATTGAAAATGCAACGGCCATTTTTGTTGATCGCTATGCTTCATCTCGTTTGATCGCGTTTTTTTCGTGAACGCTAGCGTCATGGTTCTTCTTGCGAAAGATATTTAGATTTTTTCTCCTTGTTTGATAAAGTTTTTTTCATGGATGTTAGCGTCATGGTTTTTCGCGGAAGCTTTTTTTTAAATGGAATTTAGTAAAATCCTTTAGCAAAAATGCGAAAATGCTTTGTTGAATTTTAGCATTTTTGAGGGGTCTTTTCGCATTTTGCAAAAAAAGCTACCGTAGCGGAAACCCTGTAGCACATTTTATATACTGAATGATCTAGATTGTGAAAATCATTTGCCTTGATTTACAAACAGACAAAATTGCAAAAAATCAAAATGATGCTTGTATTGATATTTATTCTTTGCACACAAATGTTGTCACATTTCAAATTGACAATTTCAAACATTTCAATCTTATTATTTTTAACTTGAAAAATAAAGTGCAGTTATTCTTAATGGCTACTAGTGTAAATGGGAAATAATATTTTTTAATCGTTTTTATAAACTGCCATAAGAACAGCTAATGAATTCTGCTTAAACGTTTAAAGGACAAATAAAGAAAGGATTATTTAAATAACTTGAAATTCAATAAGAGTTGTTATTAAAAGATTTTGAAACATACTAAAATGTTTTTAATTAGTTTTAATTGATGTTCCCTTTTTGAGCATTAAAGTTCAACAGAAGCATTTTTTTCTTACTTTCAAAATATAATAGAATAGCATGTGAATTAAATTAAATAATATTTTTCTGAAATGCAGTTATTTTTCCTATCCGACATTATTGAAAGTACTATTCTATTTTTTATGATATTGATGAATACTATAGTATAATCCCAAACTTATTTTTATATAAATACAAAGCTTAATTATAAAAGTTTTTATGTTTTCTATTTTTGTAGTAAAATAACCATTCCTAATTATTATTTTTTTTCTTCTTCAACTCAATTGGTCTTCAAAAACAGCATAGTTTTGAATTGATTTCTCTGAATGTCCTATTTCTTAAGGTATTTGATGGAATATTTTTTTTTTTAATTCAAGAACTATTAAAAAATTTAACTACATAATGACACTATGATGCAAAAAAATAAAAAGTTGAATTTGGATTTTGGGGGAAAAAAGGTCATCCCAACTTCCTAATACTTGTGAACTTTAAAAAATAAATAGGTTTAGAAGCAAATTTCTGTCAAAAAAAAACAGTGGCTCCCTAGATAGATATAAAATTTTACTTATGTGCATACATATTAAATACCAGAGTTACCATTTTGACAGTATTTCAAAACAACAATTAGAATTTAGAAAAGCTGAAAAATCCCACAATGACAGGTTATTTTTGCAATAATTTAGATGATTTTTTTTTTAAATTTTGTATAGAATAGTTTATTAGAAAAATCATTTCACAAAAAATCATGAGAAATAGAATTTCTTTTTAATGCTGCATAAATAACTGAAGCAATGTCAATTTTATCAGTTACACAAGTTTACTAAAACTACCAATTTCACATTTTTGCAAAAAAACTGACTTAATAGCCATGCTAAAATGCACCATGAAGAATCATCACTGTTTATGAGTAAGTCATCACTAATTTTATGTCAGATCGTTCCTTCTTGAATATTTTAATAAATATGTACAAGCAATGATTTATTTACACTAAAGAATTGATAAAATTACAAGGACTAAAAATAATAAATTTATAATACTTTAATTTTATTAAATATTTCTATAAACAAAGCAACCTTAAAGTTACATCAAGCAAACAATTTGTACATACTTGATATGAACAAAACATTTCACTTCAATGAAATTAAATACACTAAATTTTCATAACTTTTATATTGTATTATGAAAATTTATATTACTGTAAAAAATAATAATTTGAATTTCAGTAAATTTAAATTCCCTATTTTAAAATAAAATTGAAATTATTCCATGACACACAGCAATATTAGGGGAATGCTTAATAATATGGAATCTTTCAAAAAATAAAAAGGGAATTCAACCTTCTAAATCCACAACAACTCTACACACAGGACATGTATGATTGATCTATAAAAGAAAAGTATACCCGTATAAGTTTTTATTCAAACATAATTAAACATTAGAAAATCAAAACAGATAAAATTTAGAAATTTGTAAAAAACTTTTCAATTATTAGCAATTGGGCAAATATAACATGTTACACACAATGAACGCAATGCTTTTAAATTGATAAAACACAAATCAATAAAAATACTTTTGAATCCATGTTGCCCAAATGTTTCACGATATTGATATTATGATAGGCTTTTCAGTGATTATTAAAATCAGAAAACATTTTATCATTGATATAAATTGCTATGATACAAGAACTTGCGGGAACAGTTGATAATGCATGAATATTGGTAGTTACAGAAACTACTAAAAAATGTGTTAACATAAGAGTCATGCTTAAACTTGTTTATTTAAAGTAATTAGGGGAAAAGTGGCTATATTGTGCCAAACATGTGGCGTTAAAACCCGAATTGGTAGCAAAAATAAAAGGGGTACTTACTGGGATCATAGGACAAACATTTATCTACAGAAGGCAAACCTTCTAGCAAAATTTTAAGTAATGTTTTATGTTACAAGCTCACTTTGTTGCAGGGCCATGCCCATGGTTTTAACAGCTCTGAGCCAAATAAAATGAATTTGCTACATTTACATTTTTTTTTCTACAAAACAAGCTCAAATTTTAAAAGACTTAAGTTATATAAATATGTAATATAGAAAAATATAATTACAACTAAAATGTTAAGTGATAAAAAAAAATCATGAACTGTTCCAAAAACGGAAGGGGAAAAAAACAGCTGACTAAGGAGAAATTTTATTTAAGAAAACTAGGGATCACTTTTGGCCAATGAAGCATTTTAATTTTACCTCAGAACTGCCTTGAATATTAATAAAAATATGGAAGCACACATATCTTTTTTTCATCTATACTCTTTTACAGTAAGTAGCTTCTCTAGTTTGGAGCATTTCTCATAATCTTGAATTGTAATCATCTGATAATGCGAAATTAAATTTCTTTCAAATTTATATAAATAATTTTTAAAATAAAAGAAACTTTTAAAATAATTTTCAGAATAACAATTAAAATCAACAACCAATAGAAATGTTTTCTTTTTATAAATCTAAATTTGTTTTGTAATCTTATAAACATATCTGTTAAGATTTATTTACATTGTATATTTTAACTTATTTATTTTTAATATCTGCACCCAAGCAAGACTAGCTTTACATGTGTTACAAGTCACTCATATTACTTTTAAACATTAATCTAAATACTTCCTGCATATTTATGATTACAACATTATGTTAATGTTGTCCCACAGCATCACATATTTTAGTTAGCATTGCCTGCTTGATCTGATCTATACTATTGCTCAAAAATAATATAACAGTAGAGTCCCGATTATCTGAGTTTCCGCTTTAACCGAGCTATCAAATATTCCAAGGATATTTTTGTTCTACTTTATTTTTAAAACTACCGCCGAAAAAAATCTGAATTTTATCTTCCAAACACTCAGAAAAACTAAATCTAACAACTTGATCCGATGAAATGATCGTCAATAATGAATCTAGCGAAGATGAAGACAGGAACGATGAAAATCAACATATAAAAATCTCTCATACAGATGGACTAAAAGTTGTCAAAAGGGCTGTTGAAAAATAGAACAACAAGAAGAGGCGACACCAGCCTTCCTGTTATCCCTAAAAAATGGCGAAACATTGCTGCAGAAAAGCACCAAAGTAATGTAAAACAAAAAATGATTAAAGACTTTCTGAAGTAAAAACTCTTTAATTCTCGTAAAGTGTTTTTAAATAAGCTTTATAATTATAATATGAATTGTGTGTGGTGTACTCGTATAAATTTTGTATTTTTTAAATATACTACATTTATACCTACTCTTTCTCTTTCCTTTTTTACACTCTTCGTTTTAACCGAGTTTTTCGGTAATCTGAGTTAGTCGTGGTCCATATTAACTCGGATAATTAGGACTGTACTGTATAAACATATTGGGCACAGTGTGTGGCTTTAATGAATGCCTCAGCTCATAAATTTAAAAAACAAGTTCATGACTGTAACATATTCCACACATAAACATTTAAAATCCACTATCTGTGTGAATTATTTATATGAGCTGCAAAAAAGATTTCGCAATACCCATGTTAAATAATGATAATACTTTCAATATCAAAACAATTTGAAGGCCTGAACTAAACAAGTCCTTTAAAAGATAATTTGCAAAGAATGTAAATACCTTTAGCCATGGATCAATGCACGGAGTATGAAATTCGTGGAAACATGGAAGAATTCGAAGAGTGTCCCCATTTTCATAATCGCTAAGGCAAACTTGGCATTCTTTATTTAAACCAGCTCTTTTGTGAGGTAACTCATTTGATGAGCCTGCATTGTTATTGGCAGCAATATATTGGCGAGTAGGAAGTCTATTAATCTCACTTTTTTGCAAACCACGAGGAACATCACCGTTTAAATCAGCAATTCCTAAAAATGTCTGAAAAAAGTTTTTTCTTTAGTAAATAATTGATAATTTAAATAATAATTCAAGTACAGTAAAGTCTTGATTAACCTTTCTAAAACAAATACCTTTGTTAACCTAATTCCGAAAAAGATTTTTTTTAACACCTTAAAAATAGGCAAATAATTTTTTTTGTTTCTTTTTGCTATACATAACCGATTTTTAAATACAAAACGCTCTTTATAATGAATATATTCACTTCATAGAATTGATCATTACATGGAAATAAACATTTAAATAGTTAAAAGTTGCCATTGTTAACAAATTTAAATGGAAATTTTTATTATTTCATTCATCTTCATATTATTACTCACACAGATAATTTTGACCACATCGGCTTCCATTTCTGCTGAAAAGAAGTATGTTTTGTTATCTTTTAGTGTGAGCAGTAAAGCTAAAAAACTTAGCAAAGCTTGCTAAGAATTATAGATTAATAAAGTCGGCTAATGATTCAAAATTGAATGCTGCCTTAAAAATGATTTATTCAAGAAAGAGCAAATAAGTACCAGTATCTTGGAAAGTAATGAGACTGAATTTTTAAATGAAACAAAAACATCTGCATAGTTTCAAATGATCATATTAATATTAAATATCATATAGCACTATTACTTAAAAAAAAAGTAGAGTTTATTGATTAAAATAGAGTTTATTGATAGAAATGTTAATATTTTTACTAAGAAAGCTATTAATATCAATTTATATAAGGCCAATTAGAGTTAAAGGTATTTTATTTAAAATAATATTTCAGAAAGAAATAATCTTTATAAAATATATTTGAACAGAATATTGAAAATTGCACAAAACCATTCTAAGAAAAGAACTGAAATCTTACTTGTTAACTCATAAACATCTTACTACAAAAAGATTCTAGTGAAAATATCACACAATTCTTGTGTAAGGCTCATCATGAGTCTTGGAAAAAGGAAATTGCTGTAAAAGCTGCATACATAGCACAACGGGATAATTTAATCTTTGAATACAGATAGGCCTAGCCTCTCGATCAAAAATTGATGTAGCACCATAATACAAATAAATGCATTGATGCTTAACTTAGTAATAGAAATTAAAATTATTCACTTATTTAATATTAGCTCTAACTCTTAGCTTCAGAAAATATTGTCAGATTGCATAAAGTAAATATGTAAACAAAAATATAAGGGAATTGTGCTATATTGCCGGGATGCATGTCAGATCACATGAATGAAGTTAGGGGAAATTCAGGCAACCCTGCACAAATTTTTGGTGTTAATTAAAAAATGATTGCTTCAATGATTTTTATTACAAAAAAAAATTGCTTTACAAAACTTTTTCCTGCAAAGAAACGAAACATTTTACTATTTAGCTTTCTAACTAGTGCTAAATCTTGTCTTGAGATTAAAAACGTAGCATTTGGACAAATTAGGGAGTAGAAGGATGGAAAAGTAAGGCATTTAAAATTCGGACAGTAAAAATCCGAGAAATTGAAAGAAAAAAAACGAAATTTCGGAAGTCGTGTATGAAAACGTTTCGTTAATGCGATTTAGTGAACCAGGGTGGCCACCCACCTGGAATTATCAGGGAATTTTTTTATACTGGAAAAAACCTGGAAATATCAGGGAAATTTAGATAAAAACCTGGAAAAATCAGGGAATTTTAAAGAAAAACTGGAAATTTTTTCTTTGATAATTCTTTTAATCTTACTAATTTAAATTATTTGCTAATTTTCTTAATTTAAATTATTTTGTCCATTATCCCATTTTTTTTAAACGGAAATGTATCACCAAACAGTTGAAATATCATCAACTTTGCTTGCATCATGCTTGATACTTTGCTTGCATCAAAATTTGCTCCATTACAGTGTTAAACTGGAATGCCACATAAAATTCTCCCACGGTTGCTGAACGAATGTAGAAACCTTTGACCGCTATGGGACTGTGCAATTTAGATAAGATTCCGGTGGAGGTGGAAAAAGGGATTAGGATATTAGCTTCTGTTTTTAAATTCTGTCCTTGGGCTGAATCCATTTATGGCTCAANAAAATAATTGATTATAATTTAATAATAGATTTTTACTTACACTCTTTTTCTGAAATCTTTTGTACTTCCATCCAATGAATTATTTTTTCTCAGCAAAGCCAACCAATCACTCATTTTCTTGAATCGCTAGCAGCCAAATCGTTACAATTGTTGCATTGATGTTAATTTTCTGGGCTTCATTTTAACCATTTATAACATATTTTATTTTTAAAAAACCAACTATATATTAATATTTAATTTTACTCCTTTGTTGGTCAATATATGATTTTTGATTCAAAATTTTGTACCAAAGCATTAAAAAATAAATAATAAATCTTGCCAAATTGTCAAAAAAAAAATTTTTTCCAAAATGATATGTTAAAAAAATAACATTTTGAATAAAATATTTTATAATGTAGACACTTTTCTTGTACACATCCTACACTTTATACGAAAAAAGAAATAAAAACCTGGAAATTTTAAGATTTTTATCGGGAAAACCTGGAAAAATCAGGGAAATTTGAAATCTGATTTGAGTGGCCACCCTGTGAACGTTTTAAATTTTAGATAACGCATAAAATTTTAATTTTGTCAGATTATAAGATTTGATTCTTGGAAGTTTGCGAATCAACGGTCTAGAGAGACACTGAATTCCGCAAAAAAAATCGCATGCCCTACTCCTAGACCTGGAGGGATAACACGAAAAACCCAGAATTACGGGGTACACCCATAATACAATTCCCCCTGTGTAAAAGAATATCCAAAAGGATAGGGAGCACTTAATGTAAAGTGAAAAACGTAAATGAAGCCCAAATCAAGTACAGAAATAGACATACTATTGTCACGGTTCTCTAGACAAGAACCTTTACCAATCTCGACGTTAAGCCACTTTGCACATGTTATCTCTCTATGTTTCTGATGATTTGGTGCTTAAACATCGAGAAAATTTTCATGTCTAGAGAACCAAACCTATATTATGTCTACTTCTGTACTAGATTTGTGCTTTATTCACGTTTTCATAGTTTTTCCAATCAGCAGTGCTGTTAAACTTAAAAGGGAATATTTAATTCTTGTAAGACAAAATCACTTTGTTTCCTCAGAAGAATAAAGAAAACTGTACATTTCTATTGTCTTCCATATTTCATTAAGTAATTTAACAACTCAGTCATTTTATGGATACAGAGAAACAGTTATAACAACATTTATATATTATAAATTATGCATATAAGTTATTTAAATTAAAACTCTAATAAAAAATACCATTTGAATTTATTGAACTCAAAAAGAAAATTAGGAGGGGCCAGAAGATTCTAACAATAATTTGTTATCACATTTGCACAATCGGAGATGATTGTGCTCCGGATTTTTCACCAACCACAATCCAGAAGTTTCTGGAAATCATCAATCACATTTATTTTATGTATAAAAATTCTTGTACATTTTATTTAGAAATATTAGAACTCAAATTTATACTTGGCATCTTTTTCATTTATAAATATTTTTTCTAATGGATTAATAAATGCGATTAGAGATAAAAGTAAACTTATACATACCTTAATTAGTAAACTAATTCATTTAAATTATGCTGCATATAATTTATTTAGAATTTCATGTTTTGAAAATATCAACGATTTAAATTTATAAAGACATTGATTTTTTGAAATGAAACATTAGTGATTTGGCTCAAGAAATTTTCAGGATTTTTGGGCTGACAATCACCCCTGCACTATTGATATTAAAGATTAAGAACATGAATCAGTTAAAAGAAAAAAAATTTTAATTAGAAAATATCAATTTTTTGTCTTATTTAGAATTGATTTTCACAAAATGGCATATTTTAAATGTATACCTTAAACCTTGAAGATAACATTTTCTTGATATGTGAAAATCTGAACAGTAAGCTAAAAGTTATTTCGAACAATTTTCTTTAATCAATGTAAAACAAAAAAATACCTCAAAACTATCATCAGAGTAAAGAATATCATCAAGACTATTGAATACTCCCACTTCTAATAAATGATTAATCGAATTAGGTCTTCTCCTCCGAGTTCTATCTAATCTTCGATTATTCTACAAAATGTAAAAAGACTTAATAAAGAGATAAACAAATTAAAAAACATTGCAGTGCTAAGAATAATAGCAAACAAGAAATTTAGCAAGACATTTTTATAGAAAGTCTTTTATGTTGAAGTTAATAAAGAAATGTTGAATATTCTTTAAAAAGTTATAATACTAATAGCTTAGAGAAAAATAAAGCATAGCAGTACTTATTTACATCTTAGCAATCATGCCAATAGCCCTTGGAACAATAAAAAAATTCGGATAATGCAAAACATTTTTAAATACTTTCACATTAATAAAATTTTAAAGTCAACAGAAGAGATGCCAAAAACATATTTAAAATTATTTTATTTAGAGATAACATTAAAATATTTGGTACTTTGGGACTATCCCATCGACCAGTCAACACTCGCAAAAATGGGCAAATCCTTTAGCGCCATCATAATGAAAAGCAATTTCTGAAATAAACATTCTAAACACATTTAATTTATCTAATAATAATAACAAAAAAAATTTAAAGTGCAAAAATACGTAATAAAAAAGTATTAAACATAATCAAAACAAAGTAAGAGATTCAATGTCTATTTTTTTATAATTACACATTGAATTATTCTTTAATCTAACCATCTATAGTAAAAATCATTTTGGTGGTTAGACAAATCCCAAATTCAAATCATTATGCAGCAGAATAAAATAGTATATTTCGACACGCTAAAGAAAACTAAATCGCGTAATCAAGGATTACACAGTAATTATGATAAAATTTGCAGTTATTGGCACAGAAGCTACCTTTTGGCGATAATATCGGTTTAGTAAAAATGGTCAACGGGATAATACCAAATATCTATTTCAACAATAATATTAATTTAATTTCTTTTAAATAAATCTAAAGATAGAATGTAGCTCAATAGCCCAGAAGTAAGAAGCAGAAATAATTTGGCTATAAAACAAAAGTGTAAAGTAAAAATCATTCACAGTAATGATGGCATTTCACGATAGCAAGGTCGGTAAAATATAAATCATATCCTGATATATAATTACTTTGTACTATTTGAAAACAATATTTAACATGTGACACATAATATTTCCAAATAAAATGTTTAAAATTATTTTATTACAAATTAATCACTGAATAAATTAATATCATAGTTATTGAGACAAACTTACAATAAATTAACTTAGATCAGAAAGCATCAAGGTAATAAACTATTCAAAATTACACATGATAAAACAAGTCTCCATATATATATACACTAACTACATATTTATTTAATTAAAAGCATTTCTAAACTATTAAATATAAAACTAAATATGTATATATAATTAAAATATGTTTAATAAACGACGAATTATTTTATATAGAGCTCACAAAAAGTTATAATTTAAATGTTGCATGTAATTTTTATCAATATTAAATCTTTTTTTATTATTATTATTATAATGTGCTAGTCTATTTTGAATGTCAGTAAATAATTTATCTATATTCCTGTCTCTATTTTCTAGATAGATCAACAATCTTTCTATCCTCCCAGACCATCAAGCGGAAAATATTTCATTTTGAGGACCACAACACCATTATTTTAAATCTGTGGATTTCTAAATGTCTCCCTCCATAACACAATTGATGTATTTGAATGTACTAATGACAAATTTTGAAATAAACACACTGTATATTTTGAATATTTTTTTTTTGACATGACAACCAAAAATAAGAAATTGGAGAAGAAAAAAAATTCACGCATTGTACTTTGTTGTGAATGGCAATAATATTTTAATAACCTATTACTTAACAAACGATATTCATTTTTGACAGTATACCAAACATGGACTCTTGCTTCTGTCTGAATCAAATTAAATTTTGAAGGTGTTTTCAGATGTCAGTTCGGTTAAGTTTTCTTTTTTATCAACTAAGCTCAATTTAAGGCTTTTGAGATTAACAGTAAAAGGATCAATAGTCCACAAATTTTAAATTCTAGGATGGATCCTCCTCCTTTGAACAATAATGAGTCATCATCATCAATGGCTGGACAGCCCTGGGTGCGCCTTGGCCTTCGCAAGAAGTTTTTGAAGGCCAACCTTTTTCCTGCTAGTATTATAATAGTGATTAAATTTTTTTTTAAAAAAAAGTTATTCCAAGTGAAATTTCGCAAGAGTTATGATTTTTTAACCGACAACCACTTGGATAAAATACTTTTCAAAATTGTAAACATTTTCAATGTTTAAGCCAGCATATTATAACATATCAGAAAGAAGGCAAGAAATATGACTGAGCCTACCAAAGTAAAATTCCATTAGCGTTAAAAATTCTTTCGATAGCAACTGCTTGCTGGCTGAAACTCTAGATATAAACATTCATTACAAATAGAAAAGAAACTTTAAACACCATAACATTAAAATAGTTATATTTTGTACAGTATAAAAATTAGCTTCTTAAATCCATGATTTTAAATAAAACTTATTTGTTTTACTTATTTTTATTTATTTATCTGCAAAAAGAAAACTAACATAAAATATGTTCCCTATGAAGTTTGGTGGAGTATGCCGATGCGGAACACGGTTTAAACGAAGACTCCTCCAATCTGGATGAAAAGGAGGTACTGTAGGAAAAGGATCTTGAACTCTCATCCAACTTGCATCATCATCATCTCTTAAATCACTATCTGAATGTCTCAAGGATAAATTTACAGGACTAACAACATCATAAGGAGAATATGCCATAGGTCTGGTTGGGGAACATGGTTGAGGTGAAGGTGAATAATCAGGATCAACTTCAGCATCAAATTGAGCCTGTAATAAATAAGTTTTAATAAAGAAAAGCAATTAAAAAGAAAAAAAAATATTACTGAAAGAATTAAATTATGAAGTATACTAGCACATAATATAAATGCACATACAGTGCCTGGCTAAATTATTAGATGCACTGTAAGATTCTATGTAAAATCTTGATTATTGGTGATACTTTACAACTTTATTGTTACTACGCTGCTGAAACCGGATTACTACACTTCTTTTTGTTCTTGTATCAAGTGGTTAGCATTGTAATGCAAAACATCAAAAATAAATACAAATAGAAAGTATATAAAAAATCTCCTCTATAAAAGCTCATTACATGTATGTTTAAATATAAGAGTACTGCCTAAAAACTCGTGCAAAACATGTAATTAATTAAACACTACAGTGCGTCTAATAATTTAGTCTAATTATTATAACATACTAATATAATAAATATTCTATATTTACATAATATATCATCTAATTTATCCAATCGTCAAATTTATGTTAGATATTGTCTAATTTCACCAATGGATACACGAGCGTAACCAAGTGTAAACCGGTTTCAGCCACATATAAGCAATAAAGCTGTATAGTAACACCTGATAATTCAGATTTTACATAGAATCTTATAGTGCATCTAATAATTTGACCGAAAGCTCTATACTACCACATAAATATAGAAATTTTTTTGAAAAATACAACAATGAAATAAAGTGAAGAAACAAAATTAAAGCAACTAAGTTAGGCACTAAGCTGCATATTATAACTAGAGTTAAAATTGTGAAAAGCATATTAAAATAAAATACCTAATAAAAAGAATGAAATTTCAATTTTAAAAGTACTGGTTAGGCTAGAAATTTTTGCTCGCCATTTTTTTCATGAAAATACAAACAATTTCGTAAATGTTAGGCGACGAATTTTTTAGTGACTAAAACCAAAAAAGAATATAGAAAAGTTATAACATATAAACATTTAAATGCTCATTTTTTTTTTAAAAAAAAAGGGCATTTATTTGAAAAATAACTTCAAAATTTAAAGTCAATTAAGAAATTTATTAATATACCCCTTGAAAAAAAGAGAAACTTATAAAAATCTTATCTATCAATTTATATGCCACAGGTTTCTTTAACTACTCTTAGGCAAAATTGTAGCATTATTCATAGTTTTTCACAACTCCTCGTATATAATCTACAGAGCTCATTCTAGGCAGAAAGGGCAGGGTGCATAAGTTTAAAAAAAGGGTATTATTATTCTAAAAGGGAATAATTTCTTTCTATGGGCTTTACACGTTCTATTAAAAAACATTGTCAATTTTATTTTTTTTTTACTTTACTAAAAGTAGCAAAGCAATCATATTAATTACTAATTTTTATTAATAAATTAACATATATATATATATATTGAGTTAATGAGCTAATTAGCCTAGTAATTTATTTAAAATGCATGCATATATTTATAAAATAATGAATGTATGTTTTTAAGTGTCTGTAGTTATGATTTAATAATTAAAATGATTAATAATAATTATGATTTAATGATAGTGAAGTAACTGCAAACTTTCAAAGACAAGTGTAACAAAGGGGTGTGGCGGCTATTTTTCCTTTCTCATATAAATCTATGTATTGACAGCAATGACAAACTAAATAAAAAGAGTTGAAAATAACAAAAGTTTAAGAAATCCATTGTAGAGTTTAGGGAAAAAATAAAGAAGGGTTGAGGAAAGAAAGGGCAAAAAGTGTATGGAGTCTATTACATCAGGGTACTAATTTACTTCAGGGGCAACAAGGTGGATTCTTTTGACTAAAAGGGCAGCAGGATGCTGCGCCCTGTTTACTAATCTACCCTCTACTAATCTACCCTGTTTACTAATCTCTGTTTACTAAAATACCCTCTGAATCTAATTGGCAATTTATTAATTTAGATGCCAAAGGTTTCTTTAACTACTCTTAGGCAATATCATAGCATTATTCATAGTTTTTCACAACTCCTCGTATATAATCTAATTGGCAATTTATTAATTTATATGCCAAAGGTTTCTTTAACTACTCTTAGGCAAATTGTAGCATGTTTCATAGTTTTTCACAACTCCCCTTATATAACCTAATTGGCAATTTATCAATTTAAGAGTAAAACATTGTTTTGAATAGAATCTCTTTTTACAACTCCCTCCTTTGAAATCTCATTTTTTGAAACTTGCTAAATAACACAACAATAAATATCATAAAAAGCAAACAAAAATAATTAAATTTAGAAATATGGATTACTTGTAATATTCTAGCAAATCTTTCATCATCTTCTACTTGTCGAACTTGTTCTACAGGGTCAGGAGAGAGAGAAACTACTTCTTGAACAGGATCATGGCGATGTCTCCAAGATCCTCTTTGCCGTCTCCTCCCTAAAAAATTGTAGTTCAGTTTGAGAATCAACCAATACAGTCATTCTACAAATCAACAGTTTTACGTAAAATACAGTTTATCTCTTTAAAAAATTATTAACACAGTTGAATCCAATTTAGTTTTACAAAGTAAAATTGAAATTTAATTGCGGTATCTGAAACAATTAAAATGAACAATGAAAAGAAATGCAAGAATGTTTAGTCCTTTTAGAATCTTTTTTATTTTTTACACAATTTTTAAAAAAAATTATCAAACACAATTACACATTATTTTAATGATGTAAATAGCAAATAATATTTAAATCAAAAACGTTTTTTAAAAAAGTATCTGACTGATGACTGAAAAAAAATCTCTGTTTAAGACCCAATTACTCATGTGAAAATATTAAAATGGAACAAAATATAGAATAGGTGCAAAACTGAAGGATGATTTATTCACATACAAACATTTAGTTAAGCTCCCAAACACAGAGCAAAAATGTTCAAACAACAGGTTCTAAAATTATATCTTATATTGAAACTGTTCCGGTAAACAAATTTTAGAGGGAAAAAAGAATACCCAAGAGCAGGATGCAAACGAATTCATTAGCCACTAAAACTAGGCAGCATCACATAAAAATATATTGAGAATAAATTTTGTGATGATATTGTAACTGAACAATGTTTAGAATCACAAAGAGTAAAATTTTATGATAATGTTTATGCATTTCGGTGGCGCCTAGTACTCCAACAGAAAGAAACAGCAGAAATGATCCATACAATTTTATTCTATTGATAGAGGAGTATGCTAAAAATTAAATTTATAGGTTTTAATAAATGTTACTTTTACTTGCCCATAAGTATCACAGCCTGGAGAAAAATAAAGTGATAACAAAACAGAGAAGAATATAGATGCTTTGAGGTATTTGTAAATACCCATCTTGAAAAAATACATAGGAACACTTTTGAAATAATTTGTTAAAAATAATGCAAAATTCAAATTTTTTTAAGCCTTAACTTCGTAAAAACTATTCACCAAATTTAACACTTTCCAGATCATTTATTTTATGAGTTCATGGGCAATAGATTTGGTGCTTGAAATAAACTTCTGAACTGATTAACTTCGAAATAAGCTGATTACAAGAAAACAGAACTCAAAATATGAGTTATGTAGCATGATACTAGAAGATAAGATTACCATGCTACTAGCTACTAGCAACTATACACATTACCTAAATAATTAAAGATTCTTGCAGATGATTTAAAAATGGTTTGATGATTTTTAAGGTAATAAGAGCTAACTTTATAGTACTATAAATTATTAGTCAGATCAATGCTTCAATGTTTTAAAATTACTTATGCTGAAGTTATAGTAACAATGAAGACTGAAATAAAAATAATCAAACAATTTAGTTAATCTGCACTGTTAAATCAGTCTAGCCACTTAAAAGTTAAAAGTAATCACTTCAGAAATGTAATTGCACAAAAATAAGAGTATTAAAAAAAAATTCATTCACTACCAAATCAATTATAAAATATTTCTAGTAACAAGAGTAAAAGAACTTGTGACATTAGTGATTAATTAAAATAATTTAAAAATTTTAAATTAAAAAAGTATCAACGTCGAAACAAAGAGAGAACAAACCTAACGCTCTTCTAGGCTCGGCACTTCTAATAACTTGCCTCTCAATTTCTCCATTTGATGGACGAGAGCTGAAAACAACACTAATTTCATCCTCACTACTTCCAATATTTATAGAATGCTCACAAATAATCCCATTACTTTCAGGACTTCTTATGGTGGAACTTATAGTTAATCCCCCAAATGATTCAGCACTAGTTTCAGTATCAGAGTAGGAATTTGCTGTAAAGAATTCTACTTCACTACTATCTTCTGCATCAAATATATCAGGATTTGTTGTAGCAAGGTTTAAATTTGCTCTCCTGGCTTGTGATCCTGTCAAAGAGCGCCCTTTAGCCACTTTAGAAACTTCCGAACGAATCAGTCGAGAATGAGAATTTGGCAATGTCCTAGGATGAGGAGAACCAGATCTCCTCGTGTATCTTTCTCCCACATTAACACGGCTTCTCCCTCTTCGACCCACATTGTTGGAATGGAAATTATTTGAAGCAATTTCAGAAACAGCATTAGTTCTAATTTGTTTACGATTTCTAAATGACCTAGGACTTTTTGAATAAGAAATTGGAGATGATGAAGGACCAGCAACAGAATTATCTCTAGAATAACAAAGGGGCTGATGATTTCTTGTTATGCCGCTTTCAAAACCATTCCTAGAGGCATCACTAACAGGAAATAAATAAGGGTCACTGCTTTCTGGCACAGCTAATGGTTTGGAAACACTTTTTTTATCACTTTCTGCTTCGCTATCAGAAGATGAAAATATTAGATGAGGCCGAGACTTATTAGTTGGCCAATCTTCGTCATCATCGTCACTGTCAAGATCACTATCAAGAACCTTTTTAAATTTACGGCCAATTACTTTTTTAGTACTTTGTGATAATTCTGGTGACTGTCTACCACCTTTCAAAGACCCATTCTTAAATATTGATCTTGAATCCTCATCACTAGCACTGTCTACATAATGGACAATGCTCCCGTCAGAAACAGATTGTGAATCTTGACTTAAATCTGGACGTTGAGGAGCAACAAATGAAACAGCTTTTGTGCCATTTACCGTTGATCTAGAATGCTCACCTAGGTTATTTTGAGGCTCCCTCCAAAGGAAATGCTTAGGGGAATTTGGAGTAGAATATTTATTTTTGGTTTGTTTACTTAGTTCATTATGTTGTTTAGGATATGGAGGCAATTTTGATTGAGCAGAGGCAGGATCTTCATTAGGACGCTCATTTAAACAACTGAGGAATTTTCTTTTTGAAACTTGCTTTGAGTTAAACACAGGATTTTCCTCCTCTGCTAAATTATGAAGATGATCTTCATATGTTTTATCAGCAAATATATGTTCACTAGTACTATCAGATGTACAAGGAAAATCAGGATTATGGTAACGTTCTGTCCGAGATTTCTTTTTATTTTGATTATCAGGAGATTTTAAATATCTGTTGCTTAAACAAGTACGCTTGGGGTTAGCGAAGAATTCAACACTTTTATCTCCATTTTGCCTTTTCTTGTTATAAGCACTGTAAGTCCTAAAAAACACATGAAAGTAAAATAAAATCTTCATATACATTAACAACAATTAAAATATCAAAAAACACTGTTAACTGTTATTTTTATATTCTCCTATTCAGTATTCTTGTATGTAAAAATAAAGTGATTATGCAGAAATTTATAAATTTGTATATCCTATGTTAACAAATAAAAAAAAACTTCACTTTCATTTAGCATGTAGAAAAAATACAAAAAATAGATTAACATGCATTTACAAACATTTTTACATGAATTCCAAAACATGTAATATTTGAAACAAAATACATTTTGTTTAGTATTTATTGCAATGATATAAAACCAACTCAAAACATAAATTTTTTTTTCTACAATGCAAATCATAAAACACTGCAGCAACCACTAACTGTATAACGCATTGGGCTAGAGTCCTGAAAACGAAATTTATTTTAATAATTCATTTAATTTCAACTTGGTGAAACACAAGTGAACTATTCTATCAACAAAGCTAACTTCACTTGACACGCAGAATTGCTTTAGAGGAGCTAATTTAACAAAAATAATTTAAGAAAAATGTATCGAAAAGTAATAAGATTTTTTTACAACCTATAAAACAATAAAATCTACAACACCTTACTTGAAAAAAATATTAAATTTGACACTTTTGGGGATAAAAATATTTAATCAATCAACTTTAAAAAAATAAGTACAAAAAAAGTTTTGATAATATTTAAATTACTTTGAATAACACTCAAACTCATTAATAGTTTAATATTGTTGTATTATACAAGTTGTTATGAAGAAATTATTAAATAACAGGTTCTTTCACAGCACATTTTGACTAATTAAATTTTATAAAAAAATGATTTCTTAATATAATAAAAAGGATGTTAAGACAGGGTTCCCACTCTATGATGAGATTGAAATTCAAGGACTTTCCAGGACTTTTCAAGGACCTCAACAAAATTTTCAAGGACCTTAATCTAAGACCAATTTTAAAAATTATTCTCTTCTATTTTACTAGAAGCAACTATGCTTGTTGTGGCAATAATTAATTTCAAATATAATACCTAAATGCTTTGCCTATATAGAGGGAAGAGAGTATATGTTTTATGGACTAAAATTTATATTTTTTTAAAAACCCTACTAGTTTTACATATTAATTCACAAAATCATATTCAGCACAATCTATAACTATAATGGTAATGAGGTGTTAATGGTGAAATCCTTTAATCCTGTGTATTTCCATGTGAAGGCTGCATGAAAGACAGAGCTAAATCTTAGGTATTCCATATTCCATGACTATTCCATAACCCCCTCCTCTCCTCTATTAAACATTGTTTCTGAAATTATTCATCCATAATTTACACAACCTTCTCTAAATCCATAATTTACATAATTCATCCATAATTTACACAACCTCCTCTCTCGCCCCGAACGCATTGAACGCGCTTGGCAGACACCAAGACGCTAAGCCCGGTTAGAAACGGTGGCGTTAAAAACCACGTGAGAGAGCTCGGGAACAAAACAGAAAGAACGAGAAAGATCCGCGGGTGTTTTATAAAAAGGGCCGTCGGCAGTATTGGACAAATTCAAGGACCTATCAAGTTTTTCAAGGACCTAAGATGTTTTTCAAGCACTTTCAAGGACCTAAATTTAGCAAAAAAAAATTCAAGGACTCTCAAGGACCGTGGGAACCCTGTAAGAGGATATCACTTACATCAATTTACTTGATATAAATTATCAGTATATCAATTATTAATTGATACTAGAAGATTAAAAAAAAATTTAAAAAACACAAGGTAAGCAACTCAATAACTAGGTTGTTCTTAAACTCACACAACAATAGAATTAAAAATAATCAAAAATTCAAAATTTTATAAATAAAATATATATATATTAGAATTAAGAGTGAAAACAAATAAAATTTTAAAATGCTGTTACCGAGCAGAGTTATCCTTGAGAGTATCACTTTGCATTTCAAGACTAGAAGATGAACTAGACTGATCGTCCAGAAAATTCTTTTTTCTAAAATTGCTTTTATCTCGATTTATACGAAGTCGTTCCGCCAGCTGTAGATTATCACTGAAATCGTCATCAGAACTATCATTTTGTCCAAGATACCGAGCCATTTCATACAGATCTAGAGGAAGATTCAAGCCTCTCTTTAAAATTTATTAACACCTAAAACAAATTTGAAACATTATTAAAAAAGAAATACACATTGCAAAAGTAAATATGATAGACATGTATACTATTTCAATAAAATAAACTAGCATTCTGGGGATAAAATTACTCTCAAAAACCACCTACTATCGAGTACTAGACATTCTGTAAAATAGCATGCCAAAATAAGCTTTGGGTAAGAAAAAATACTGTGAGAGATTTCATGAAAATTATTCTCCAACTTAACAAAGCTCACTAACAAATCAAAAAAATTTATTCAGGTAAAATAAATATATTTATCTATCATTATATAAAATGTATGTTAAGCAAAATAAAATTTTAATGATTAAATTTTATTTGCATTTAAAAAAGAAATCTTTTTTATAAAAAATAAATCAAACTATCAAATAAAATACACAATGGCTTTCTATTTTTATTATATTTGCAGTTTAATGAGTTTAAAATCTAATATTGTTTTTTTCTTTAATTCTGTAAAAATTGAAACATAAGCCTGCTCAGAAATAAATAATTAAATCAAATAAGTTTAAAAATTTGTCTAAAAGTAAATTTCTTTAAGTAAAACTAAATAAGGAAAAATCAAAAATTTTAATTAGTAGCAATTTGAAAATTCTGAACAGAATTTGTTTGATTAACCACATAATGAACATAAAAAGTTTGGGGGATATTACTGTATAATTCAAAATTATTGCATATTTTGTAAAAAGCAACAATCAAACATAACCTTCTTTTTGATCAAGATTTGAAACACTTCACAAGGGCAGTAGAATAATAAGATTGACAACTATTCAATTCACCTTTGAAAGGCACATAAATGACAGATTACAACAAGACATCTATTAGACAAATTCAAGTAATAAGAAGTTATCAGTGAACTTAAAAGCATGAGTAAACATTGTACAAAAATAAATGTAAAATGCTGTTACAACTTCACAATTATAAAACACTTCTTGTAATTGAGAAATAAATCCATTGCAAACAAATTTTCTTTTCCAGAAATTAAGTTTTTCACAGAATAAGCAGCTACACAGTTAAAATCTAGTTTGAATAATGGAAGAAAATTAGGATTCTACTGTATATAATATCATGTGATACTGTAATACAAAAAATTAACATTCATGCTACAATGAACTTAACAAAAGGGCTATTTATAAAAAAAATAATAATTATTATTATTACTCAAAACAAATGATATAAAAATTTAAATCTAAGAAATGTCCTGATTTTATATTAAGACACAACAAAAGAAAATAATATATACCCAGGTAGAATTTACTAAGTGATGCAGCACTAGGTTTATAAGTCCTAACTTGTCAACAGCCTCAAAGCAGGGTTGGGGTTTTGGACATCCTAAACTGGTTTTGAACAGGACATGTGGGTCTTACTGTCTTAAACTGGATAAAACTGTCTTAAAGTGTCCAACACCTTGAACTTTGGTAAAAGGTAAAAATTCTATAGGTGTAACCATTGTACACATAATAATTACATGTATCAATAAATATTTGATATTTTTTATACAATTTACTTTAACTTATTAAAGGAAAATAATATAATAGGAAAAGGTTTATAATTTTTGAAGCTCCACAATTCATTGAACACAAAAGTGAATACCTAATCCTTTAAATATAAATATGCTTTTAATACTGATAAATAATGTTTTCGCATCAGGATAAACAATGCAATATTAAAAAATAATAATTTTTTTTTAAAAATACTAAATTTGTTTAAAAATCAGCCTTTTACTTTTCCCAATATTTCTTTTAAAAAAATGTTATAATTTCTGCATCATAGGATGATAAGAAAGATATCTACTTAAAAAAAAAATTTAAATATAGATAAATTAGTTTAAATTGGAAATAAAAAACAACTGAAAAATGCAATAACAGTTTTGAAGGGCATAACATCAGTTTCAGTCACTGACACTGGTGATGTATCACCACTATGCTAAAAGAATCGAACATGAATGAAACAAAAGTATTCTTGAATAGTACTATAGATAAATAAACCTGTTTATGACTAACCAGGCACTTAGTCCCTAATAGCTTAACCTGTATGGCAAGGTCAAACTTCAGTTACGTACTATTGAATGAGAGGACCAATTGAACTAGATTACTGATTAATCTTCCTTTGTTTAATGTTTAAATTGAAGAGTCAAACAATATTAATAAAACATTATACTTTTAAACTAAAAACAAATATTCTCTAGTAGATTTAATTATCAATATGTTATTAGTTCTATGTTTATTTTACCTTTTAAATATTGTTCAGATAAAATTGTGACATAATTTGAGTAAAAGGGTTTTGAACAGGACGGTTTAAACCGTGGACTAATCCATTCTGTCCTAAACCTTGCCAACCCTGCCTCAAAGCAGTCAGAAAAAGAACTTATGATTTTTCAAATGTTTATAATTTTGAAATCATTTTATGTATCATCAATTGTGGTCATAACATTTACAAAACTCCCATACAACTCACCACTTTTTCTTAAATGCAACGTATTTTGCAATTTTATTAATTTGTATTGTTTTGTTTTTCATATTAGGTATTTAATAAATCTACAAACAGTCATTAATAATAAAATTTTAAAACCTTTTATATACAGATAAAAAAAACAGCTGTTAACAATTAAATTAAAGCTTATTCATTAGAGGATTTTTAACAGCTGTCTTCCATGATTTGCAAAAAAAGACTGACAACTTTATAAAAATATTTCAAGTACATTTGATTTAACTATTAACTTTCAAATTTAGAAAGAAAAAAAGTAAGGAAGGATTAATATTTAAAAGATAGTTTATTACGCATTTTATGAGTTATTGAATTTGCGATAACAACTCCTGAGTACACCCTCTATCGGGACCCTGAAAATAACAGGCATTTAGTTCTATCATAATCATTGGCAAAGTCGGGCGCCACTTTCTTAGTAGTAAATAAGAAGCAAAATCTCTTTAAGGAAAGGACATACGACCCAGTACATTGGTAAATCTTTCAGAAACAGAACGCGCCCAACATTTGAAGAAATTTCAATAATTTTGATCTTTCTATTATCAACAAACTTGCAGCCGATAACTTCCATACTGTTACAGATGTGAGTATTATGGTAAAATCCTTTTTTTTCCGCTTCAATTCATAACAAATTAAAGTGAAGATTGCTTATTTGATTCCAATGAACAAATATAACTTCAGAACATGCAGAACTGTAATAGTTATAGAATAGTATATCAGGGGTCTGTCTAGGGTTTTCTGAGAGGTACCGATTTTGTGAAATTTTAGAATTAATTTGTGAAGAATTAAAAATTATATTAAAAAATCAACACAAAAATATGGTAAAAATATGAATTTATCGTTTCTTAAGCGATACAAAAATAAAATTTTAAGAAAAGTATTTTGTGAAACTACCGTTTTTCCTAAATTTGAATTTGTGAAGGTACCGCTAAACGGTAGTAAATTCGGCCTGGGCAGACCCCTGTATATATTTCTGAATCTACATAATTCGGAAAACAATAAAGAATCACCCGAATTACTTGAAATAATATCATTTGTGTTGATTATTAACAGATTTTTAAAGTTTTTGTGGTAAGTAATTTTTAAGTTTGAATGATACATTTCAACTAGAACTCAGCTATTCTGTTTTTAAGTTACATACTGAAATTGATATCGAGATCTTGAAATTATAAAATTTTATTGTGTAGTATGTCATCTTAAAGTAATGAGGGGATAATCTATGTATATATTATTTGAGAATAAAGTTTTCAAAATGAAGAACATATCATTTTGGAATTCTCTGGATTTATAAAGCAGGTAAGTGCAACAATTTTTATAATAAAAAATTTTACTTGTAAATAATTTTTTTCTTATTTGATGATAATTTTCTGTAGAATGATTTTCTACATCCCAGTATGAATAAAAAAAAAAGCAAAAAGAAACATTAAGTTTTTTTATTTTAATGTGAGGAATTTTTAGAATCACTTTTTTGTTTCGTAAGCATTCTTTATTTTACGTTTTTCAGCTTATAAATAATGATTTTTATTGAAACGTAAAATTTTTTGATAAAAATTGTTGTCAAAAAACTTTTTTCGCAAAATTGAATGATATAAAATTGTGAGCTTATGTATACTTTTTGCATATTTTAATGTTTGAAGTAATACGATTTCTAAGACTACGGAATGCAAAGTTTAAATAGGCCTTTCATGTTATATCATTAAATTTAGTAAAACTATTTCTCAGGCATTAGGTTTTAACTCGAATAAGAAGATACATATTTTTTGTCCTGTTTATTTACAAATATTTTTCCAATGTGTTTTGGATGTTCCTTCTCTGAAAAAAAGATACCATTTTGTTCTTGCTTGTATAAGAAAGAATATCAAACATTTTTCTTTTTTAAATTTAATAAGCCTTGATATAGAAGGAATGTTACAATGCTATACTGAAGACATTTCCGGAGCAACTGAATGACTGTTCTTATGGAAATCGCAGGAATTCGTCTCATACAACAAGGCTCCATATAGTTTGTTGCAATTGCAAATTAGGATAGTTATCTATAAAATCATAACTATGCCTACCAAACAAACTTTTTTGAAAATTACGCAACTAACTCTTTCTAAAAACTTAAAAATTCAAACAAAAAAAAAAAGAAACACCAGACAAATTTTTTTTTAATTTAACTATCTGTATATCTAACAATAAATACTAAAATTTTTAAATGTAGAAACTAATATTTTCATTGACTAGTCAAGTTTTCATCTTGTGACATATCTAAGTTAACTGTTAATTGAGCTAAAAGCCAAAAAGTAAATATTTTTAATATAAGTCCTTATCTTTGCTGATAAACATAAACAAAAACAGATTCCAAAGCACACAAAGAAGTTCGATTTGCATCTAGATTTAGCATACACATTCTCAAACAAACACAAAGCAGAGCCTATTAATTAATAGAACCGGTAAAACGTCTTTACCTGCTTCGAAGATCACTTCACTTATAAAACACACATAAACATTCAAACTAAAACAGTTTAGAGTTTGCGATTCATTCACTTTGTGTGTACTGCTTATATAATAGTGTCATTCATTAAAAACTATAACTGAGCATTTGAAATCAGTTATTTATATCGCTTGATTTTTTTATTCCAATAATATGTTTCATGGTATCAATGAGAAAATTTATAATTTTTCTGGTTTTTAAAAAATAGACTGGTCAGAACAAATATAAAATCTTTCTAAAGAAATAATATAGATTATATACATATTTGTACACACAAACTGATTGCTTACAAATTTCAAAAAAAAAAATATACTCATTCAAAACAAAGTATGTAGAAATACAGAAGACAGACACTATATGTCTTTCTCATATTCTGAATTTGTATTCATTGTCTGGTTATGCTAGAATAAATGCTCGTTTTTTTGTTTTTTTTTCATTATTGGAGAAGTTCATAAAAATAATTAACTAAACTAATTCAGAAAAGGGATAAAAACAATGAATCAAATTTGATCAAATAATGATAATAATAAAGGTTTAATAATTTAAAAACATTCAAAACTTGATATCCAATCAAACATTCAACCTAAAAAAAAAAAAACATTAAAAAAAATCTGATTTAAATTTTAAAAATTAATTTTGTTTCATTAATACTAATATTATAATATATAACTGATTTTTTGAATAAAAAAATATATTTTCTAACAACTATTAAATCACTCACAGTAAATTTATTAAAATATATCAATTAACAAAAATGAATATTTCCATGTTGAACTACTTAAATATTTTCTAACACTTATTTCTAAGTCAAATTTATCTGACTAATTAAGAAGTAAATAGCATTTTCCACAAAAAACTAAACACAGCATATAATAATCAATATTTTAAAACTCTTAGAAAACTGACTAATTAGTGAAACATATTAATAAACATTCCAAATTTATAGAAATTTTGATCACATTCAATTGTATTTTTATTAGAAACAGGAAAAATATATAATTAGCATAATAATTTTCATATTTTTTGATCTAAAAAGTAATAAAATATTTGCGTTGAAGCATTTCTTTTGTAACTTACTGTAGAAATTTTCTTGTTTTTCATTTAGTCTTCAATAATACCAAGGAAAGAGACGGAAAGAATAAGCTTTATTCACTAGTAAGATTCTTTAAATACATTTTCTTACAACCCATGAGTAAGAATGAGTAGAATTTTTAGCACAGGCTCATCACAAAAGAATGCGAGATGAGACACGCATCTCTACGGTAGTAAAATACAAACAAAACCAACAAGTTAAATTATATTTTAGGAAACTAATATTTACGTGTCGTTAAAAATAACACTAAAAAAAATAGTAAAAGAAATGTGTTTGCCAAATCAAAGTTCAAGATGAGGACATGGGGTCATCCTATAGAAAGTAAAAATTTCTCACCTATAATTCTTAAGTATCCATCATAAAGGTTCAGTCCACGAATAAGATTAAGTTGTGTTTATGTAATAAATATAAGTTTAAAAAAATAAATACAAAAAAAAACCGCAATGCAGCAAAATATACAATAAAATAGTAATCACCAGCAAGATTAACACTTAAAATCACAATAATTCCACGATTCTGGTGTAGATACTAATCTAAAATTAATTCAATAAAAACTTAGTTATTTTATTCATAACTTCATAGAAAATTAGAATATAAATAAATCATCAATGGAGGAGGTGAGGGCGTGGTAAGGTGAGGAGGTGTCACAATAAATTGCCAACGAATGAAAGAAATTTCAAATTCAGATAAACAGCCATTCACACTGCATACAAAACAATTCATGACTGCCAGCTCGGAGATTAAATCATGAATGTCATTGGCAAATTTTTGTCCAATCAGATTCTTATTCGCAACTGCAGATTTTTTACGTGCAGTGTGAGTGATCCATCGAGATCGCAATGCTCGATTATGCCATCTGGGGAGAAGCAAGTTCCATGTCTTGACCCTCCCCTTCTGCTTAGGAATGTACTAAGATATTCCACTTTCTTATTATTTTTCATATTTAAATGTTAAAAATATTTTTTTAAATTTCCATGGTGCTTTCTTTTATAACTATGTTGAGTGTAACTTTCAGTTCCTCATAGTTTCCTAACTGAAAAATGTTTAATCTATTTGAAAAACAAGACAGAAACAAACGTACTTCCTTCTCCAATGACTCTCCATACTCTAATGCATTAAGAAAAGCTCTAAAAGAAAGGGTCATGCAAATTTTGGAAAATAATTTTGATGATTAAATAATAAAAATATTATGGAAGGGGTAAATCTTATAGTATGTACATTCGCATGTAACTGAGCTAAAGAGAAAAGGGAGGGGTCAAATCAAGGAAAAGGTCTTCTCCCCAGATGGCATATCCGAGTGTTGAGATCGTAAAAGTTTAAAAAAGCCGATCAAAGTCTCATCTGATGAGAATTTGATTGGCAAGTTTTTCGTGAGAGAAAATTTTCCTCTAATGTGGATATTAATACCAAGCGATTAGCAAGCAAAAAAGGATATGCAGTGAGACTAACTTCCAACCAAGAGGATTGATCTATGGAGACGCTGAAGTTTGTTGACGAATTTTTGTAATGGAAAGCATATGGATGGTGTTTTCTACAATAAGAGCTCTGCGGGCTGTTTACCGCCCTTCTTCCGGGTTACGATATCCGGTGTATTTTAAGTCCATTTGGTTCAACGTGTTAACTGCGTAGAGTTTATTCTCTGTTTTAAATGATAATTTATTAAATTAACTTAGGCTCGTTATTCTAAAAGTTTACACTGACGTCTGCATTATTTGCAACATGAATAAATGGTAATGAATAAGTGAAAATTATCCAAATTAGGACTGCCAAAAAGCGAATTCTTCCAAAATATAGCAATCATGTCTCCTTTTTTAACAATATATCTATAAATAACTAAAAAAAAATTTTGCTTCAAACTCACCAGCATATTTAAGTTCAGAAATTATATTATTTATTTATTTTATGGGTGGTATCTTCAATATAAATGTAAGCAATAACGAGCTCCTTAACTGCTCTAGGTCCGGTTACAAAGTTTGCAGCTGCTTACTACACCTTAATCTGCCATATTTCAAAAAATATTAATGCTTTTAAGTAATTCTGGTGAGTTTGAAGTGGAAATTTGTTTTTTTTTATAGATATATTGTTAAAAAAAGGTGACATGATCGCTAGATTTTGAAAAACTTGCTTTTTTGGCAGTCCAGATTTGGCCTCTTTTCATTTGTGTATTACTGTTTGTAGTAGTAGTAGTTAGTTGTAGTTAGTTAATTTACGTCGCACTAGAGCTGCACAATGGGCTATTGGCGACGGTCTGGGAAACACCCCTGAGGATGATCCGAAGACTTGCCATCACAATTTTGATCCTCTGCAGAGGGGATGGCACCCCCGCTTCGGTAGCCCGACGACCTGCACGCGAAGTCGAGCACTTTACGATAGAACAGTTTAACGAGGACCAATACCGCACACCCTCGGTCCCTACGCAGACTGATCCAAGTGGTCACCCACCCGCACACTGACCGTAGCCAGTGATGCTTGACTTCGGTGATCTGCTGGGAACCGTGTCTTAACGATCAGTCCACTGCGGGACATTACTGTTTGTACTTGTTGCAAGCTGTGCCCCATCTTACGTTAGTGTTAGTATATTGTTCGAGCAGCTAGATCAGGTTTATAAATTCCAATTCAGATTTAAATTTGAAAGTTGGCATATATTATTGAAAGGGTAAGAAGTGTTTTATAACGATTCTTTTTTTTTTCAAATGTTAGGTTTAAATATTTATTATTGATCAAACCACGCGTCACTTCTACTTGAAACGTCACTACTACTCTGTTGCGTACAACACTACTATTTCACACTTAATGTTAAAATTATATACCCTTTATATTTTTAACATTAATAAAATAATATAAGGGTACCGTCTTTTCAATATTTTTCTTATTATATAACAACATCCTTATTAGTTATTGCATGTGGTATTTGAACTTAGAGTTCATTGTAAACACAAGTAATAAATAAACAAATGCAACGTTTGAAAGAACTACTATTTAAGAGAATTTCAAAACACAATGATCATGTTCTGAGCCAAATGGCTTCAAAATACACTAGAAACAGTAATCCGGAAGATTAGGCGATAAAGAGCCTGCAACGGTTCCTAGTGTAGAAAATACCATCAATAGAAAACAAATTATCTGTTTAAAAATATCGTCTCGCTCCATAAGCTATAGTGAGCTGCTGTAAGTTTTCTAACCTAAAATCGTGAAGGTAAAAAGATTGAGATTTGTTTTTGCTTACTTTCGCTTAGAAAACACCACTCATTCAGCGGAATTCTCTTAAACATTTTGTCCCGCAGTGGACTGGTCGTTAAGACACGGTTCCCAGTAGATCACCGAAGTCAAGCATCACTGGCTGCGGTCAGTGTGCGGGTGGGTGACCACTTGGATCAGTCTGCGTAGCGACCGAGAGTGTGCGGTATTGATTATCGTTAAACTGTTCTACCGTAAAGTGCTCGTCTTCACGTGAGGGTCGTTGGGCTACCGAAGCGAGGATGCCATCCCCTTAGCGGAGGATCAAAATTGTGATGGCATGTCTTCGGATCATCCTCAGGGGTGTTTCCCAGACCGTCGCCAATAGCTCATTGTGCAGCTCCAGTGCGACGTAAATGAACTACAACTCGAACAACAACAACTCATAAACATTTAAAGTTTTTTTTCTCTCAAATTCGCGTTTCTTTTTCTTTCTATATAATGCTAGAAAATATGCTATATCCATTCTTTTGTATAACAAGACAACAGGGAAAAGAACTCTTTATTGCTGAAATTGTTTTTTTCTTTCTGGAATTTGAACGCAAATCGGGAAATAAAACATTTAGCTGAATAACATTGAATGAAAAATTACTTGAATTCGCCCAAAACTTTTTCTACAGATGATGCAGAGCAAAACTTTCTACTTATGGCAATACTTCGTGTGCTTTCACCATTGGCGTGTGGATTGTCATAGGAGTAGGGAGTACGTTAGTTTCTGTCTTTATTTTAAAAACCAAGTAATTGTTTTTAGGTTTAGGAACTATAATAAACTCAAAACCCCATTAAATTTTTAAAAAAATATTTTTGGAAATTTAAATACAATAAGTGTTAAGGAAGGGGAAAACATCGTAATACATTCCCATGGATCTGCAGAGGAGGAGAAGAAAGGAAGGGGTGGGCACTCAAAACATGGAACCTATGTTCTCTAAAGATGGCTCATTGCAATCATGAATTGACCCATCAGAGCTTTTAACCTTCCCAATCCCATATTTCATCCGTGAGTTTTTAAATCTAGACACATATCGAAATGTGCGTTTACTAAAACGGACGCTGGATTCATAATGTTGACACAACTCGAAATTAATGTTTACGGAAATGGACTGAACTTAAAATGTGAATTTATGGCAATGGACATTAACTATTTGCGAAAATGGATATGACATTTAATTTCGCTTTTGAAACTTTTTATCTGTGCTTTGTTCTTTTTTTAAAAATAATATCCAGGACTTTGCTAAATAATAAGTCATGCTTAGTATTTAAGTAAGTAATAAAAAGTAAGCAGGTAATTCCTCGTTTAGTTGTTAAAATTGAGTTTGAAACTGGGCCACATTTCAAGGTTGGGCCGCATTTCAAGCTGCGTCTATTTTCATAAATACTTATTTCACGCTGTGTCCCTTTCGTAAACACGCATTTTGGAACTATGTATTTCCGTTTAGCACATATTTCGAGTTGTATTCATTTTCACAAACACATATTTCGAGCTGTGTTTATTTTATAAAGACGTTTTGAGCTTTATCCATTATCATAAATCATAAACTCACTTTTCGAGTTGTGTCCACTATCGTAAACACTTATTTCGGGCTGTGTCCATTTTTGTAAAGACGTTTTGAGCTGTATCCATTATTATAATCTCACTTTCCGAGCTGTGTCCAGATTTAAAAGCTCGCCAACGATCCATTTTCATCTCAGTCACCATTGTTCACTCAAGTCAGTAGCTTTAGAGATACATAAAATTAAAAACAATATTTAACAAATTCTATTTAAGACATACTTGTCTTATATTTCTAAAGTATTCTTTTTCCATTATTATCCTGCTTAAAAATGTCAGGTTAAATTGACAAATCAGTTCTTTTTTTCTTTTTCTTTTTTCTTTTTTTTAAATGCCCCGCAGTGGACTGATCGTTAAGACACGGTTCCCAGCAGATCTCCAAAGTCAAGCATCACTGGCTACGGTCAATGAGCGGGTGGGTAACCACTTGGATCAGCCTGCGTAGCGACCGAGGGTGTGCGGTATTGGTCCTTGCTAAACTGTTCTACTATAAAGTGCTCGACTTCGCGTGTAGATCGTCAAGCTACCGAAGCGGGGGTGCCATCTCTACAGAGGATCAAAATTGTGATGGCATGTCTTCAGATCATCCTCAGGGATGCTTCCCAGACCGTCGCCAATAGCCCATTGTGCAGCTCTAGTGCGACGTAAATAAACAACAACAACTTTTTTTAATGCAACATTATCCCCCCCCCCACTTATCAGGATTTCAGCTTTTAATTCAAAATCCAATTCTGAATATAATTTTTTTTTTTTAAATGACTAACGTGAAATTAATAGAATTTTAAATATTTAGCTCAATGTTATGTTTGTAACTTCATGAGTAAAGTTTGGTAATAACTCTAATTACTCACAAAAATGTGCACAAATTTATTTGATATTTCCCTCGTTAAATATAAAGCACGGTTTTAATTGTCAGCTGCTCAGAAATATCTGAAATTTGAGTTTTGGAAAA